TGGTTGAATGAATGTTCTGCACTAGTGACAGTCGTGACAGACGTTATAAAATGCACATGACAGTGTGACAAATTTCACATAAAACAATTGCCAGCAACAACAACAACAGGAACAACAACAACAACAGGAACAACAACTGTCGCTAAATAACAAACGACAGGCAGTCAACGAAAAGGAGAAGCAAAATATTTAATTGAATTAAATTGTTTGCTGCTGTTACCAATCGCAATTGGCCAATTTGGGCAAACAGCTAGACAAAACGCAAAGTACAAAATTGTTAGCCAAATGAAAGGCGCCCCCTCAACAAAAAAATAGAGAGAGTGCGAGAGAGAGAGAGAGAGAGAGGGCAGTTGGGGCCACGACAAAGGTGGAAAGTGGCGTCGAGTGTCGCTTTTATTGTTTACTTTCAATCACTTTTCGTCACGAAGTAACAACGAAAAAAAAAGAAAAGCGAGCCGCATATATAAATGAAAAGAAAGAGCAGCCAAGTTCGGCTTGCCGAAGTCTTAATACGCTGACGAAACAACTATTCAATCTATATTAACTATATACATATGGCGACTTTTCCATTCGATTCCAGCTAAATAAAATTTTATAAAACGGATAAATACAGATTGATAGACTAGAAAATAATATAAAATATAATTATTTTAGAAATATATATACATATATTCCATCTATATTTTATGTATTTTTTTTATTAAATAGTTGACACAGCGTAATAAAGCCCTCAGTTTAACAGAAATTTCTTGAAGTCCTCATTGTGAAAGAAATTAAATTTTCAAGCGATTATTATTCTTATGGCATAGAATAATATATTATTCCAATGTTGATCGAATACGTTAGGCGCATAGGTAAAGGTTGGAATTGTGAATTTTAGTCAATCTATCGTATCTTATCTCTTCTAACGGACACGCCTATTAGGCGTACACCTCTCTTGGGCAGGAAATTGCTCTTAAACCATATTGAATTAGGTCTTGAGTCGCCAAAAGTTACTCGAAGTTCGCTGTCAAGAGAGTTATCACTGTACATGCATTGTAGAGTATTGAATATGACTTATCCAATGCGTTGCATAACTAACGACAAAATCATATTGCTCTCTGGTAGGGTAAGCCACATACATGATGGCAATAGCAGGGCGGTTGTCTAAATGTCCGCTAAGCCGGGGGCGTGTCTGGTGTGTGTGTGTGTGTGTGTGTGTGGCGGGGGTGTGCGGCAATCGGTAGTTGGAGGCGGTGCGGCATTTGCATAGCGCAAATCACAGCAACACACACATGCACACACACACACAGCACACACGCTTGAGTGAATTTGTGGACATTGTTGACAAATTGCACATAATGACATCAAATTGAAAATGATTGTGTGCAATTGTTGTTTTGTTTTATTTTTATTTTCATTTTATTTTATTTATTTCTCTTTTTTTTTTTTGATTTGCCTTTTTCAATTGCTGCCATCTTGCTCACTCCCTGCAACAATATACCTCTTACAAATTAAAATTAATGGGCAACGCAGTGGCGCGTAAAAAGCCCAAACACGATACATCACAGACACAGACACGCACAACAATAACAACAGCAGCAACAAACACACCCACAACAACAACAACAACAACAACAACAACAACAGCAACAACAGCAACAACAGCAACAACACGTGCATTATAAACAGAAGCTGCACTTGAGATCCAAATGGGATGTACTACCCAACCTTCTGCTTCATTCCTCTTCTCGTTTTTTCCACTTACACAAAAATCATTTCACTTTGCCTAATGTGCAATTAGAAAACGCATTTTCATTAGTTTTATCGCAACAATTTAGTTTCAGCTGTGTTGCCACAACAACAGCAACAACAGCAAGAAAAGTAAATAAATACAATTCGAAGAAATATCCAAAGTATAGCACGAGGTCTTATGTAAATGGACCCGATAAGCTTTCAATGGGCAGCAGCAGCAGCAGCAGCAGCCATCGCAAGGTATTATTTGAAAATACGCTTAATTTGCTTATCGCTGCGGAATGGAGCAGCAGTTGAAAGAGCCAAAATAAACAAGAAAACCAGATGACTAAAAGCATTTGGCGTCTATAATGAGGATCATTATAATTATGATGGGGGGGCGGGGGGCGGCAGAATGGAAGAGCTCTGGAGTGTTTGGCGAATTGTGGAGGAGCGAGACGAGAGACAGAGAAAAAGTAGCTATATCAATTCGGCTATTGATGCTGTTCTAGAGTATATATTTTTTGGGTTCGCAGACGTCTGCTTCTATGCGCTACACTCTTCATGATGAAATTAAATAAACCCTCTACAAGGGTTTTATACAGCACATATATGTTCATGCTCAAAGGGTTTGTTAGGGCTTGCCAAGAAAATGTTAACAAAAAGCGAACCCCTTCGGCATTATCCCTATCAATCTATGCACACCTATTAAACTGGTCTAGTTCATATTTTTTTTGCATAGAGAAAAACATGATATATAATTGTTTTGGCTTGCTTATTTGTGTATTCGCGTATAATTTCCACATTTATTTAATTATAGTGATCTATGCGTTTGCCATTTCCATTTCCATTTCAATTTCTATGGCCCAGCAGAGAGTTCAATGTCTTTGCTGAAGTTGCTCTCACTTGGCTCGCAAAACAGCCAAACAGGCAAACACAGCTTTCGCCACAAACTCGCCTCAAAGCAGTTGGCAAATTAGCAGCAACAACAGCAGCAGCAGCAACAATCACAGCAGCAATTACAGTGCAAACAGCAGTAACAACAATAAATACTTATGAATAGGTATTTACGTTAGCTCAAATCATGGGATCGTGTGAAATGCTTTTGATCATTGGCCATCTATCAATATTTCAATATACTGAAACAGCAAATGTTGTTGCTGCCAACGTTTAATTAACGTGATAAATCGTTTGTAAATTTCTTAATTATTACGTAGCCGTCGTGTGGTCAGTCAGTCGATCGATCTATCGATCGATCGGTCAGTCCATGAGGCTGTGGCAATTTAACATTCAATTGTCTCTCTCTCTCCCTCTCTCTTCTAATTTGTTGCCATTCACCTTAGCACTTGCACGCGTATTTATTTTATAATAATTTGCCAGCGCTAACTATAATTAATTTCATGTGCATTTGCAGCAACAATATTGAATTAGCTGCCGAGTGTCGCAAATTGTTTATGAAGTGAACAACAACAGCGGCAACAGCAACAACAACAACAACAACAATTACAACAACAGCAACGAGAACAAGCTGCGCACAATTATTTTATAATTTTGCTATTGGGAAACTGTTAACAAGTTAATTAAAAGTTAAAAAATAAATAAATAAATGATATATAAATATAAAACAGGTAAGAATATTGAACGAATGTGCGACTGGTAGTTTACCCTGGCCTGCAATTGACTATCGAAATTATCGATAGTGGAAGTTATCGACTATCGAAACTACCAATAATACCAGCTTTTAATTATCGACAGTGCTGGAAGCTATCGAAGCTAACGTCCATTGAAACTATCGATTGGTGCGTTATCGATTTTATAAATCCATATATTGGCCAAATATCGAATACAAAATTATATATTCTGTCAGCTAGCGATAATAGAAACTACTTTGCTTGGAGAGATCATCAAAATTTTGCACGCTGCCAGCTTTAGAAAATTTGAACGATTATTAAAATAATCGATTAAGTGCACTTATATACCCTTTCCTGCAATTACAACTATGGATATATATCTTTGAAGAAGGAAAACAATGTATCAATGAAAATTTTGGAGATTCTTCACATATCTAAAGACCCCTCGACGTATAACTACAGGGTATATTGAATAAATATGCAATTTTAGCTGTGCTGTGTGTTGAGTACCGGCTCACGTAAATGCCATAAATGGATCTGGTCATTAAGCCAGAATTATATAAGAGCCAAGCATTTTATCTAACTGCTGCTAAATGTACAGTTCAAGATGCTTTAACTGCTGCTAAGTGTATCTATTAGCTGTGCTTTACAGTTATTAAATGCCAAGTGCTCTTTGGAACGCGTAAATTAGCTATGAAATTGCCAGAGAGATCATGGTATAAGGAATGCTATAAAATCAAGATAATTCCCAATTCTAGTATAATTATATGAGATAAACTGGATTTCAATCTTAGTTTTGGCAACTGAAGCACACTTTAAATCGGTTAACATTTCGTTTACATCAATTATTTTATTGAAAATTTGCTGCAAGCTTTAATTTTATAAAACTTTGAAGACTTTAACAATATGGCTTAAAATTTTCTATGCTGCATTCACAAAGTTGCCAGCAATTTATTCGATTTTGGCCGAATTCCAAGACGTTCAATAAATGCAGCTGCCAAAAAGTTATATATTTTCTGGGCGAAAGGACTAAAACTGAGCTGCGAGCGAGGAGCACTAATTAATTAAAAGCAAAACTGAAACTGGCAGCAGTAGCAGAAGCAGCAGCTACCCGACTGGCTGGCAAAGTTGGTTGGGACAGACCTAACTGAGTAAACTGCCTTACTAAGCGCCTTGTGATCCTTTCTTAATTGAAAAATGTCGTCACAAGCAGCTGGCGGCAGGAGTAAGCATTTACCAGGCAGCATTCATTCAGACAGCCCAAACCAGCAAAATCCTTGTTAATCCTGCACTGAAATTGGAAAAACCTGCAGCACCAGAAACAGAGAATGTCTTACGTGTTTCCCCAACCCGCTCTCCCTCAATCTCCATCTAGTGGCTCCCCGTTTGCCGACTTGGCTCGTAAAATCAGCTCTTGAGCCGCACACGCAGCCCCCATTAAAATTTGTACAAAATTATGTAATAAATGCAACATAAAATTTGGCTTTGGCCACACTAATTGGAATGCAATGCAGCAACAATTTGTTAAATAGAAACATTACAAGTTCCCCTAAAAAAAAAAAAAATAAGCCCCACACTCTCCAGCTCTATATATAATCCTTTGCTCACAATATAAAGTGTCACAATATTACACTTTCACAACAAAAACTCGTCTGGAAATACAAATCGTTTTTGTATTCTGAGTCACAGCACACACACACACACACACACACACAAAATAATAAAAACCAAAGAGATTTTCTAGACAAAACGCTGCAGACTTTATGTCTTCTAAAGACCTGAACGGGGGATCTTTCCGCCCGGCTTTCATTCATAAATTGCTCAACGATATTGCCCTGTAGCTGCTGGAACAAAAGAGGTCGTCACACCTATTTCTCTTTTTTCTTTCATTTTTTTTAGTTTGTTTGGAAATCAATATCTAAACAATGCAAGCAGCAGCGGCGGCCCTCGACAAATTTTCTGGCAGCCTAATAAAAAGACGAGCAAGTATGGTCAAGCGGAGAGTTCACGACTAGGAGATACCTTAGTTTAATGAAGTCGGGGCAAAAGGGGTTTGCGTAGGTTGGATAGATAAGAGGAGGGTCCTGAATATCTGGAAAGTATTGTGATATTTGTCGGATATTTAAAGTAAAAATCAACTAATTTTGCATAAGACTTAAAAAATTCATATACCAAATTTTGTAACTGAAGTTCCTCATGTCACTCAGATCGGATGGATATTTGTAAGTGAAATAAATTAGAATTTCCCCAGATATAATTCATATACCAACTCTGGAAACTCAAGCTCTTATAGATGGAATGGATTAGTTAAGCACAAGACCTTAACTCGATTCATCAAGAATATGCTAGACACAGTAAAACTAAAAGAATTTTCAGCTAATGCAGATTTCCATAACGCAATCATGCCTCCCTTTAACTGATTTGATGACTACAGGGTGTACAAAATTTCTTTCACCAACAACAAGCAGAAGTTTTGACACTTTTTATGGCCACGAAAAGTTTTGTGCGTGTATTACGAGCATTATAAACTTAGGAGGCAGCTCCGACAAATGAGCCCGCCCGTGTGGCACAGCTCGCCGGAGTGCGAGTGCGGGTACGGGGCAGATCTTGGACCGCCGCGTCGCATTGTCTATGGATGCTGGTCATCTGTCTGAGAGCGAGAGCAGAGCCAATGATTCGATTTGATACGATTGGAGTTCCATTTCAAGCAACTCATTTGCATGAAAATTTGTTGAAAACACATTTAACTGAAATCGAATGCTTTTGAAAATACGTTGAAACGGTAATTTGTTGGCCAGTTTAGATGTGTTATTAGCAGCGTTTATATGCAAGTTACGCCCAAAACGCGACAGAGAAATAATAATAATAATAATATTAATAATAATAAACACGATACGATATCCAGATAGTTCAGCTAGATTTGGTTTCTTTCAGTTTGGTTATTTTGTGCTCTAATTTATGCATTCCAAATTGGGTTGGCGTATACTATTCAACGGCAGTGTAATGTCTGTATTCGTGCCTGTTTAAAGTGCAATAAGCGTGGCTAAGTCTGATCTATGGGCCAAGATATTCGGCCAGAGATTGACATTTGAATTTACATAGATGTTACGACTATCTTTTTTTCTATTTCTCGATAAGGCTTGCAGTCTGTAGTCTGATATCGTAATTTATTGTAGCTGATCAATCAGAAGCGAATCGGAGCTGACTTTTGGGGACAGTTAAAAGACTTTTGCCTATCAAATAGCAATAAAATGGCTAGATAGTTATATAACATTCCAGGAAAATAATATTTAAAGCAGCCAAATGTTTATAGATATTCTAAAAACCTGAGCCGCAGTAAAATTGCACTCGGAACACGTATTTAAAGTGGGTAGAGTTTATATAAAGCGCGTTCTTTTAACTTTTACAAATATTGCAGAAATTATACTAATAGAAACTATATGAAGAGCAAAGCTAGATATATTAAAAACGCCTTCAAATTGCTTTTTATACTTAAAAGTAGAAAAAGTAGATCATTAAAAATAAATGTTCTGATATTCACAATCTATTCCTGATTTGACTTCATAATTTATTTAATTGACATTTGTGAACAACTTTGTTTTTTATATATTTTTGCTTTCCTCTAACTTTATTCTGTATTATTTTAAGGCTTTAATAATAAAGAATAAAGAATAATAATACATCTTTCTGCGCCTACATTTTTACAAAGTCTGTAGCGTGTCGCCCTCAAGAATCTGCTTATATAAGCCCCCACAGCGCATGCGATATTTTCAGCCCCGGCCTGTTTCCTTGTGCTAAACTTTGTGATATACGTAGGAAACGTTCGTGTTGAAAAATGTGATGTTTAATTTCGCACATTAAAATCAGAAAATTATCAGACACGAAAAGTCATAAACCGCACACCGAATGCCGTCATAAAGGTAACAACAAAAATTAAAAAAAAAAAAAAACAAAACGAGTCTAAACGACTGTCAAATGCCCTACAAAAAGTTGACCAAAATGTAAATAGAGTATTATAAAGCAAACAATTATTGAAATAAAATTTATGCACTACTATAAAATATATAAAATATTATTTTTTAAATATCTTATCATAAAAATAAATGTACAATAATAAAGTTAAAATAAAATAAAATATAAATTAATTATAATTAATTAATATCAATCATAATGCATAATAAAATAATTATTAATTAATAGCATTAGTGTATAATAATACATACTGAATTAAATACAATTGATTTTAAGAGCTTGCTAATGAACTTCATAACTACAAGAAATAATTATAAAATATAAAATAATATAATTCATTTTATTAATTTGCCCTATTTCAAAACCAGATTCGATAATTGTTTGATTATTTTGGTTTATATTCTTTAAACTTTACTATGCAAGATATTAGATAAAAAGTTTAAATACTGAAATCTTTTTTTCAATGCCTATTTTTACTTTTACTCAGGATAAGAGATTGTTGTTATTATTATTTTGAATACTTAATATAAGCTAAATTAATTAAAGGTATAAAAAAACTAAAGTATAAAAAAAATAAATACAAAATTATAAATACGCAATAATATAAAATAAAATACATACAACTGAAACTACTTTCGACCAATAGGGTATACTGAAGCCTATCTAGGAATGCCCGGGAACGAGAGCGTGGGGGGAGAGGAGACACTCCGCTCCGAAGACTCTGCGGATTCTGCAGACTGGGCTGCTGCTGCAGAAAAAAGTGCAGTGAGCAAGATTAAAATCTTCTGAGAATTGTGTACAAAAGCGAAACGGGCAAAAGGTAAGTAACATAAATGAGTGTGGGGCAAGGCGAAACAGAGTCAAATCGATATGGGCCCCAAAAGGTAAACAACAAGAAGCGCACGAATCAAAACTGGAAAAATGCACTGTGGCAGAGATCAAGGAGCTGCAGCTGGCGGACGGAGGATGGAGGGAAGAGGAAAGCAGAGGAGGCAACGCGAATGTCATGTAAACAAATCGATTTGTTTCATTGATGACATTCTTGCCGAGATTTTTGCGCAAAATGTCATAAAGTTTATGACTTAAGTCTTTTGTTTGACGCTGACGGCGACTGCGACGCAGACTGCGACGGCGACGGCGACGGCGAAGGCGAAGGCGAAGGCGACTGGCTGCTCGGGCACAAAAATATCATTATTAAATGTGATCGAACCGCAAAACGAACCGGTTTGAAAGCAACAACAACCACAACAACAACTGCAAGCACCATGCTTAACTTTATATGAAGATTTGCCAAGACTTTTTGCATTCACACCTACAAAAGTGTCATCCGCTTGGCATTTGCTGCCATTCGAGTCGGTTCCCCGACTCTGGACAGTGTGTTTTTTTTTTTTTTTTTTTTTTTCTTAACCACAAATTTAACGATTAAGACGTGTTAAATTGTTAACAAGCCACTTGCAGTTATTGCCAATAAGCTGCAAATTTACGAGTCTTGGCTCAGCCACAGCCCAGCTTTGGCTACGTATTCATTTCTTGCTTTGCTGTTTGACTTCTTGTTGCTGTTGTTGCTGTTCTTGTTGTTGTTGTTGTCTAGGCCCAACGTCATTTGCATGTGAAAGCTTTGTGTGTGCAACTGGCAAATGGGCTGAGAGGTGGCGGCTGGGTGCAGCCTGGGGCCATGGTTTTTGTGAACTGCTCGAAATGCTCAACGAGCCATCGTCGTCGGTGCTGGTGGTGCGTGCATTTCAAATGTCTGATCCGCTTTTCATGGCCTGATTTATAAATCAATACACTTTATTGTTAGCTTTAGTTAAGCCTTTGAGGGCTTACGCATAATTTAACAAGAGTTTTGAATACTAAAACATAAAATTTAACAGAATAAAACAGAATTCAAAACGTTTGCGAATGCGCAACAAAGAAGAACTGGGCAATAAAGTGCTGTTCAGAGGCGGGCACAGAAATATTGCTTCAGCGTTAAAGAATGCATCACAAAGAGGAATTTATGTATTAGCTGGGGTTGAGAGGTTGCAAGAGAGTGAAAGCTATAAATATTTGCCAATACCTACATGCAGATAAAATAGGGCAAACATTTACGGAAGGAGTGCAATAGAAAATTGAAAGTCAAGTCAAATTGATGGCGAGAAACGGAACACAGCCATTTTCATCAGGATCAGTGAAATATTTACGAATGCGATGCAAAGAAGAATTGAAGTTGTTCAAATTCTGTGCGAGAAAGAACCTATTACGTTTACGAATGCGACGCAAAGAAGAATTGTAGATAAATAGATTTTATAAAGTTTTGCTAACAGGCTACTAAGGCTTACAGTCTCAAAGATCAAGTAGGAATAATTGACAATATATTAAGTATAACAAAAAAGTCTTTGAATACACAGATATTCATGTTATGAGGCACACATTAACAAAGAGAAAAACTTATATTTAAATTGAGAAAATAAGGGCATAAGCAAGTCAAATTGTTAGCTTCTGGGCTTGTGCTTATTATAAATTGATTATAGCTTTTCATAAAAGACACCCAAATATACCTTTTCTTCTTTTCTTTTTTTAGATAACAGTCAAGACTTTGCAATCTATTAATAAGATGCCCAAACAAGAATCAACTCAACTGATTTATGAAACCAGTTTCATAATTTAGCCATCAATTCAAAAGCGATTTACATATTCTCCACGGTCAAAATAAACCCCTAATGGTTAAAGGAAAAAAAAATATATTTGGTGCCATTGGCAATTGTGAACATATGTAAAATGGTAAAGAGCGGCAAAGAACTACCAAACGAGCTGAAATTAATTTTGAAAGACCAAAATAAATAAAGACAGTCACAAATTATGCCCAAATTAGCAAAACAACAGCAATAGCAACCACTTGGCCATGACAAAATGCCCAAAAGCCAATTTCTGGCGAGAGAGGGTGGCCTAAGGGGCAGGAGGCGATATTGGGCTGGAGTGACAAAACGCACAAGTGTCGACTTGCCAGTCCGTGACAGGCAATGCGTATGCGTATCTATGAGATACGTGTTACATGTGTTGCATAATGCCAACACAAACACAATTACGAGAATTGTTAGAGGGGGGGGTTGGGTTGGGGTGGGGTTTCGGCTTGTTACAAGCAATAAATACAAACCGCATAAAGGCGACGCGGCGGTCGCTTAATCCCGGCAGCAGCAGCAACAGCAGCAGGCCAAAGTCACCCCACAGTGTTATTTATACACACACCCAGCCCATCCCACCCTACTCCTCTCCCCGCGACTAACCTAGCAACAACCCCCGCCAAGCACCTCACCCACACCAAGCAGAACAAACTGAGCACCAATTACTCAACATGATTTCAATGAAATTACCGCACACAAAACAAAGCCAAAGCTGTTGGAGCAGGCAAGAGATAGAGACAGAGACAGGCTAGTATACAGGATACAATGTACAGTAAATACAGGATATGAGTTACAGCTGCACTTGGAGAAAAACTGTTCCAGAATTTTGTGCTAAAAACAAGTAGAAATTATGTTAGGCAAAGCAAGAAACGCTTTTTTCAAACTCGTTTTCTCTTTTTTCTTTATCTAAGACTTTGTGTAATTTTTTTTAAGGAATGTTTTTGCTTACTTCAAGTAGGTTTATGCTTAAAATAAGTATTTTTTCATATTTTTTAAACATTAATGAATATTGACACTAATTAATTAAAGCATGAATCGCCTTTAAGTTAAGCGCAAATCTGACTTACAATTTTAGCCTGGTTAACTAGAATTTATGGGGCTTTTCTTTGAGTGTACAGGAGCGCTTGCAGTTTAAGCAACAGCAACAACAACGACAACATCAGCAACAACAACGACAACAACAATAACAACAACATCAATCTCAATAACAATTCATAATTCATGTTTAACATGCGCTACCCGTGCACTGCCGCTGAGCAATTTTGGCAAGCAA